ACATCAATTATCCAAAAATGCAAAAAGCAAATTCCTGTAAACTCATTTCATCTGCACATGATTAAATAACCGAAGGGAATATTCATACAATTTACTGTGTAAAGATTCACAACTCCTTTAGTAAATCAGTCCAATACTGCACTGAAAACAGTGGGGTTGATTTGCTAAAGGCAAACTGTGCACTTTGGAAGTGCAGCTGCACTAATTTTTCCCAGATCTTAGTGAATGCAATGAAGCTCTGCTGCTTTCCATCATCCAATTATGTGAAAGCAAAATTGCTGTTGTGTTTTTATTTACCTTGCACCTGGTTGGATGGAAGCTTCACCACATTCATTAAGCTATGGGGAAAATGAGTGCAACTTCACTTGCAAAGTGCTCATTCTATTTGCCTTTGGTGAATCAACTCCAATGAGTTGTCATAAGGTGGTGACAAAATGGCAAGAATGAAAGAAGCACATAAGCTGTCACCACTTTTGATATCCTGTTCAAGGTCAGAAATAGCATTTGGTGAAGGTGGTAAAATGTAGGTAGAAAACAAATTACCAAAAACAATCTGAAAACTGAAATATTTTATTCTCTGAAAAATGTTTTATCATGCTAGAGTAAAAAATGGTGTCTTTGCACATTGGAATATATGTCACATATCTTCAAAAAAATAAGAGGATGTTTCTTACTATAAAGAGTTTGTGTACTACTTGCCATGGCAGTTTGTTTGCTTCCCCATGACTGTTGGGTGCAGGAAAGTGGCCAATTGAGGAGGCCACCTCAAGTTCCCACACCAGACACCCCATCCTCAGTGCTTGTTCAGCCCTGTGCATGTTCATCTCAGAGGCATCACAGTGCCACTGGTTGTTATGGTGCAAAGGTGACAACCACGTCAGTCGTGGTCCTGGTTGGAACATCAATAGGATATGAGCAGTGTGGGAAACTTTGCACAATACAGGGACAGTCCTGTAAAAAAGGAACTCTTGGCATCCATTTTTTCTTAGACCTAAAGCGAATGATTCAGGAGGCTTGGCATTAGAGTGCAAATTGGCGTTGGCTATTTAGCAGAAGTGTGGTCTGTCCCCTTCTAGCTGTTAGCGCTACAGTCTACCTAAACAATATGCAAATAACCTGCCACTTGTATTGCACTGAATGGATTTTGTCTGTGCACACTGTACATGTGCTACATGTAGAGTTCAGTGCACCTGAATTAAAAGAGAAATATCCCTAAAGCTTTTTTGGCCATACTTCTCATGTGGATCACAGGAGTGCACTTACTTGTGCTCTCCTGTGACCCAAAATCAGCCAACAGCAGGCTGACATTACAGAGTCCATCCAGGGTTTAATGTCGGGATTCACCCAGATGCCTTGCCAGCAGCTGGTTCAGACTCTCGGCACGCCCCTGAGAGCCTGAGCCAGCCACTCCCTCCACAGCCCAGCGCTCCAGTGAGCACTGGAGGGGCAGAGCAGAGCCGGTAACTGACAGTCACCGCTCTCTGCTTAGTGGAGACTGAGAACTGAGCAATCAGCGGTACTTGGTGTTCAAGCCAGTGGGGGACAGTGGCAGCATCACACCAACGCTGCAGTCATATAGGCAAGTATATTTTTTCTTATGTAGCCCATGCTTCTCCTTTAAGATATGCTGAATACATCTAGAATCTCTCTCAACACCTATGAACCAGATTCATGCATTTTGGCATCATTCTTCTTTGCCTACAAAAATGACAAACTAAGTAGTTCTATATGTTTTAATAAAAACAATGTAACGTACAGTCTTGTCAGTTCTACATTATACTGTATCTGGAATTCAACTGTGCCATCATAAAGTAAACTCCTTCCATTGTTGGAGTATACCGGCTTGAACAATAAAAGAAACTTTTAGCATATGTTTTATATAAAGACTTTTGTCTCTGTCAATAAGAAACTCCAATGGTAAAAGTTCAAATACTCAGCTTGAGGCAATATTTCAAAGCAACTCACTGTGTGCTGCTTTGGAATTAACTGGCTATAACCTGGAGTACATGCACTTTGATATTATGATGATGAACTGTTAGTGAGAAGAAGAAGAGATGTACTTTCCCAGCATACGGATTGCTCCACAAAAGCATTTGTTCTTAGAGCAGAACACTCAGATCAGCGACTCTAATGAACACTGTGAATCACAACAAGCAGCAACGGTCAGCAATCATAAACTCCATCTCAAAAATGTTACAACCTGTATATTGGAAATAAACATTTTTTTCTATTTCTCATAGAAATCTGTTTAAATCAATTCCTGCTTGGCTTCCAGTTCACAGCCTAATGAAAGTTATAAGCCCCCCACTCTCTCAGTAAACATTATTACAAGTCTTTATATTTTTTATTCTGTTTTAACAGCCTTTTTTAATCTAAGCCAGAACATGTGAAAATAATATCTGATTATGCTCTTCGGCTGGCAGGTGCATGCAAGCATGCCACATACAGTATTTTACAAAAGTGAAATGCAAGGGTACAGCTACATTTGACACAGACTTTGAGTAGTAAAAATACAGCGGTAGCTAGCCGTGATGGCTTAATTTCATACAGGACACTTATAGCTGTGGCATCTGTTTTCAGTGCTGAAAAATAAAAGTGTCACTAAACTATATCCTTATTCTCCAAAAATAATCCATACACATTCACTACTTAATGGTCCTGTAATCTATTTTTCATGAAATTGTTTCATACTGTATTTTTTATTTTATTTTGTCTCCTTGTAACATCATCTTCTGTGAGCTACCAAACCTCTCCTTTTACCCTCACTCCTATATGTTTTGGGTGAAGTTCCATTTTAAGGCCACAAACAGCTTGACAATAAACCAATTGAGTGTATTGAAGTGCTATATAGATCGAATCTATCACATGTGCAATACTATCGTGCTGTGTAATGCAAACCGTGCCAACACAATAGTGCTTAGTGGAAAAATACAGAAATACAAATAATATTAAACAATTTAAAGTGAAAAAACCATTGAGATTGTGTAAAAAAAACAATGAAAAATGTGATAGTGGTTCTTAAAAAAGGGGGAATGGCATCACGTGCTAATTTGCCAATATCTGGTATAAACACACAGTATATAAATAAACATTAAATGAAAAACAAAGCAAAAAACATCTGTGAAATTAAAAGCATAAAGTCCATGCAAGTGTAACTGTGCCAACGTGGTTTTCACTCTGGTGAAAAAGAAAGGGGATCCTCAAATGGCAGCAATGCCTGCTCACCTCCACACACTGACCCGCACAGGGTCAAAAGGCTATGATTCACAATACCAGATCCTCTCAATTGCGCTCCTCATCAAAGGGACCATGGAATGGAATATAGACTTCTCCCAAGCGCACCTTATCCACTCCACCTCCTCTCAAGGCCATATAAATAAGATACAAAGCAAAGATCCTTCCATAATGCAGTAATCTTGTATTGGAAAGTGAATAAAACTAATATTGCACTCACATGTAATCCCGGTCAAAAACACCTGTCACCACATCCTATGGGTGTACTGCATGGTAACTGGGTAGAACAATATGGCCGCTGCATCCGGAAGTGCATCACCTCGTACCGGAAATGGTGTACCGACGCGTTGCGTCACGTACCTCGTGACTTCATCAGGGTTCATCGTTTCAACCACCCCTGGAGGTGGTAGAAAGTACCTGATGCCTAGTGCTTAGCATTTAGTGGGGTTATTCTTTAGGTGGTGCATTGTCCTTTTAAGAATGTTAATTGATCACAAAAGCTAAGCCACTAAGTAGGAGCAGTCTCTTTTTTGGCTAACCGTGTGAGGCGGACTGGTAGGGAATGTAGTTTGGCTCACCACTTCCTGGCAGGTAGCTAATCTGGTCCCAATGGCTTGCCAACTCATGGTTCACAGCAACCAGGTCCCATATCCTCACACAAGCTGCAGTCCTTCAATTCAGACCTGAAAATGCAGCGATTCTCTGTCTCTCAAATGAATGAGTTTCTGAAGGCAGCTCCAGTAGACTCAAGTACAGGTCCATCCCCTCTCCCTGATTTGGGGGTACAGGCAGCTCAACAGCTCCTCTTAGCTTCACTCTAATGGCTCTGATCCCTAACTACAGGTCTGTCCCCTTTGCTTTCTTCCCAGGACTTCCCCTCTCTTGGCAAATTTCCCCAGGAAAACAGTGAAACTTCTCCTATCAATGCAGGGCTTGTGGGAATTAAAGTCCAATAGTCCTGTCAGGAAACTAGTAGAGCTAATGCTAATTCTTCTGCAGCTAATGCTAATTCCCACGCAGCTAATGCTAATTCCTGCACAGCTAATGCTCGTTCACGTGTACCAGCACATAGACAAGCCCAGGCTAATATCCAGCATGCACTGACACGTAGGTGATCCTGCATCGGCGCCAAGCTGCCTATTTAAAGGAGACTGTGTACTAATTGCTGAATGTTCTTCAGTTTCCTGTGACCCATGTTCCTGTTTGTACTGACTGATCTTCCGTTGCTGATCTGGCTTGCTCCTGACCTTGCTCTGTGGATTTCGGATACTGACCTTGGTTTGCCTTAACCTCCCTAGCAGTATGATTATTTCAGATTTTTGGTGCTGAAAGCGGTACCATTATTTTGCATGGAAATATGTATTTTTTTTATTGTAAGCTGTAATTTTTAGGAATAACTCACTGAAATCTGTCCGAACAAGAGTCTATTAAACATCCCGGGTATGATAAAATTTGAAACACGAAATCATAAATTATAATTTAATAAATAATCTTAAAAAATAATAATATAATAATAATACATTTAATTCAATAATATAATCAAACCGAAAACACTGAAATTTTAAATAGAGCGTCAAGTTCGTACATTGCTGAGCAAAGTCGCAAAATCATTTTCAGTGTCTGATGACGAATTTCCCCACGAATCATTATCACTCAATTCTGCAAGTGGTTCTGATTTACTATCACTGTTCTCTAGCTGGTCTAAAACCGCTTTTGACCTAAAGGGACACTTTTTGGACGCCATGGACATTTCTCAGTTTCCAGGCAGAAAGAACAGACAAAATGCAGGCAGGGCACAGGACAAAGCACTAGGGACAATATGTATGTGAAATGGGTTGAAACAGCAATGTTTTACTATGAAAAATTTGTTTTGAAAAAAATTACATTTTTTAAAATTTTCAAATTTCCCGTCGCCGGCGGCGCCCGTACGTCCCGACGTCACAGGGACCGGAACACAGAAGCCGGATGCCGGCATCGGACAGAGGAGATGGCCGGGGATGCTGCAGGGAACACATTGCAGGAGCGAAGGACAAGGTAAGCTCTGCAGGGACTCCCTATGCAGCGCCGCATGGTAAGCCGGAGTGTAGCTCGGGGTTACCGCTTTTGGCACTGACATTTTACCCCGAGCTACACTCGGGAATACCGAATAGGGAGGTTAAACTACTCCCTGCCTAATCTCCTGGTGCTGACCTCAGCTTGCTACAGGACCTCGCTCTGCTTGCTAACCTGGTACTGAGCCCGGCCTGACTCCTGACCATGCTGCTGTCTTACGTTGTATGACCCTGGCTCATCTTGACTACATCACCTGCTATCAAGCTATCAGTACCTGTGCTTCTTTGGGCCTTGTACCTCTGTCACCACTTTCAGGGGTGCTTGGTCCAGAGCCTCAAGGGAAGCCCTCTCCTCAACTTGGCCTTCAACCAAAGTACGTGACAAGTCCTTAGACTCCATTAACAAGTATGGACCATTGCTCTCTCTAAGACTACAACTCCCATAATCCTTGGCCCTTGCACAGTTGTCCCTTCTAATTCTCCTACTGGCTTGCCCTCTCCTTCCTTCTGATAGGATCCGATCTGCTCTGCAAGGAGGGAAGAGGGAAAGAAAAGCAAGCAGAAAATTACAATGAGCCTGCTCTCACACAGATCCAGCTGCTGTCTTTGTAATTTCAGTTTTTTTACTTTTGAAGCAACCTTAGGTATTTTATAACCCTCAGTTAACCCTAAGCCCTAACTAAATACTTCCTCCACTTAGTATTTTTCTGCTGATTTGTTATTTTTTCTTAAACTATTACTTTTAAGCATTTTTTCATTGTGTTTTTTGTGTGTCAATTTTAGGCCTTATGCACACTGAATGTTTACAGCTGCTTCTAGGAGCATCTGGCATTTTCTTTTCCTGCCTCTAAACTCCCCTGAATGTTAGCCTATGTGTCCGTGCACACATAAACTTTTAGAGGAGTTTAGAGGCAGAAAAAAACCCACTGCCAGTAAATATAGGAGCAGCAGAATTTTGTCAGAAAAAACAATTGATGCTTCTAAACATGTGTAAATGCACCTACGCGTGTGTTAACACTGCGTGGATTTAGCACTTGACCATTAATTCATTTCAATAGCCAGAACAAATTTTTTATTCTGGCCAATGAAATTAGTGCCCAAACATTTGACGACTGTAAGCGCCCCTAAATGCATCTAAACACATTACACACTTTTACAAGTGTCAGGCTTTTTTTCTGCTAAAACTCTGCTGCCTTGAGGAAAGGCTTTTAGGAGAGTTTTCAAAACATCCTGTGTTTATGAGGCCCTAAACTTTTTAATTTTTTTTATTTTAACCCCACTCCAGGATATATTTCAGCTCCCTGCCATTTCTTTCTGTTTGTAAACAAACAGCCATTAATTCTCTTTATTTATACCAGACCCTTATCTTGCCTGACGGTCTTGTATTGACGATAATGGAGTACCCCACAAAATAAGTGGGGTCTGATATTGATGTCGTGGAGACCCTGGCAGTAAGGCAGTTTCATTGCTAGTGCTCATAGGAAGCAACTGGAATGTATTTATATAGGTGAGTATTTATATATTTTTCTTATAAATGGTAATTTTTATGTTATAAGGCTAGGTTCACACCTATGCAGTACATTCCTTAGATTTGCAGAAGCTCACTACAGTCCATATAACATGATTTCCTATGGGTCATGTTCACATATGTGCGTTTTCAACCAATGTGTTTTTTGCAAAGGGTCAGGGGCTTTTTTGCCCGCAGCAAATTGCATTTTTGGTTTCATAGACTTCAATGGAAATGCATTAAAAACTCATAAAAAATGCATGTACATGCGTTTTTGGTGTGTTTTCTGCATGACAACAGACATCTCCCTCTAGCAACATTAATGCATCCCAAAAATCGCAAAACGCACCAAAAACATGTAAGAAAAATGCAAAGTGCACTGCAAAATGCACCGGAAAAGTGTATCAACTGCAACCTGCATAGGTGTGAAATCTAGCCTTATGCGGGCCATAGATGGGATGAAAAACGGCCGAAAATCATCCGAAAAAAAATCGGCTGATTTTCGGATCGTTAGTGCGGTAATCGGTCGGCCATTTTTAGTGATTTTTGCCCTTTTCAATTATCGGTCCTGCTGGGAAATAATCGGCCAAATTTGTAGTTCTGCCGATTTTCATGGCAATGATGGACAAATCTGCTGATCTTTTTCCAATTTTAAAAAATCCGCATGAGCGGTGACATGAAAGAAGAAGGAAAAGAAGAAAAGGAAAAAAATAGAATATGAATGAGAAGAAGAAATAGAATATGAATAAAAAGAAGAAATAGAATATAAAGAAGAAACAGAATATGAAGAAGAAGAAGGAAAAGAAGAAATAGAATATGAAGAAGAGAAAAAAAAAAGAATTTCAGTCCGATATTATATTTGACATTTAAAAGCATAGCAACATTGTATCTATTGGTATCCGAATAGAAACATCTGTATCCGAAATGGATACAAATGGATACAATGTTGCACTTTTTCTTCTTATTCATATTCTATTTCTTCTTCTGCATATTCTATTTCTTCTTTTTATTCATATTCTATTTCTTCTTCTTCTGCATATTCTATTTCTTCCTCTTCTGCATATTCTATTGCCGGACATAGAGGGGACGAAAATCAGCCGAGTGTTCTTACTCAGTGAGTAGAGGACTGCAAAATAAGCAGACATTTTCATGCAAGGTCTTCCTTAAACACATTAGTTTATTATTGTTTTGAACTGACTTTTGATCATAATGTTTTTTACTCTGTTTCCTATGCTGTGTATTTTAAATGCACCTTTTTGTTTGCTGTGTTGTGAAGCAGGTTGAGAAATTTGCTTATAAATCAACTATTAACCACTTGCCCTCCAGAGGATTTACTCCCTTTCCTGACAAGGCCATTTTTTTTACGATACAGCGCTGCGTTAATTTTACTGACAATTGCGTGGTCATGCAGCGATGTACATAAATTAAATTGATGTCATTTTTTCTGCACAAATAGAGCTTTCTTTTGGTGCTATTTGATCACCTCTTTTTATTTTTTGCGCTATAAACAAAAAAACAAGACTGACAATTTTTAAAACAAACAAACAATATTTTTGACTTTTTGCTATAAAACATTCAATAAAAAATTTAAAAAATCAAATTTCTTCATAAATTTAGGCCAAAATGTATTCTGCTACATGTCTTTGCTAAAAAAAAAAAAAAACAATATGTGTAAATTAATTGGTTTATGTGCAAGTTCTAGCATCTACAAATGGTGGTATATTTACTGGACTTTTTCATTTTTTTTAATATACTAGTAATGGCAGTGACCAGCGATATGTAGCGGGACTGCAGGACTTTGGTGGGCATTCTGACACTGGGTGGGAACTCATTAACTGTCACTGACATCCCCAATTACACTAATACAGTGATCAGTGCTAATAAAAAGCACTGACGCCGTACCAATGACACTGGGCAGGAAGGAGTTAACATCTGGGGCGATCAAAGGGTTAACTGTGTGTTGTGTATGTTTTACTGTGTGCTGTGTTTTACTTGGGAGACATGCTGGTTTGTATATAAAACAGCATGTCCAGACTGACAGGAGAGAGACCTGTGTTGTTTACATCAGGGACCAGGTGATTAACATCCCTAGCCACCAATAGGGGCGTGGGTAGGGCAGTGCATGCACTCCCCCTACCTGCAAATGCAAATCACATATGTATACGTGATTTGCGCAGCCCTGCCGCCCTGTAGCTGTACTTCTACTATAGGGCAGCTGGAAAGTTTTAATAAAACCCCTCCAAAAATTGTTAACAGTTTATAAAATACATTCTTTGGAAAGTTTTCCCAGATTTTATAAAACACACCATGGTCATAGTAGAAGAAAGTAGTGTTACTTGTCTTTCAACAAATAGGAATTGAAAATAATTTTAAACATACAGTACATTTTATTTGCAGGTTGAACACATTTTAGCTGTCTAACACAAATTACCTCTGAGACCAACTAGATTCCTTCTTTCATTTCTCTAAGCTACACTGTGGTAGAGTACTTTGCTCAGATATTTTGAAAATGTAGCCTAGTGCAACTTTTGCATAATTAAAACTGCATGGTAACTTTCTATATGAATCAGGAATAGAATTAGAGCTTCATAATTGCATTTATCTGGACTTACAGAGGAATGGGGAATGGGGAATCACAATGCCCTAGACCAGCTTTGCCTAATGGTATCACATATTTGTCATAAGAAATTATATTACTAGGGATGTGCTGAAACATATCAGCTGAAAATAGCACATATCGGCATTTTGCCGATAGGAAAAATTTAGCCGATACAGGTGCCGATACAGGGGACTGTGTGTAGTGCAGATGTGAGGGGTGGGGGGCGGAGGAGAAAGGCAGAAGAGGAGCAGTGTATACAGTGACTGGCTGTGTCAGTATTGGTTTTTAAATGTAATTACCGGCTTTTGTTTTCTTCACTATAGCTCAGAGAATGAGCTGTCACTCTCCCTGGAGCTAAAGGAAACAAAGGGGCGGGGTCACTGGGTAATGTTACTGGGTGACCCCACTCCTTTGTTTCCTTTATCCCTCCTAGAATGACAACTCCTTCTCTGAGCTATAATGAAGAAAAAAAGGTGTCAATTGCATTTAAAAATAATGCTGTTTTTCAATGTAATTACCAGCTTTGTTTTCCTTTACTATAGCTCAGAGAAGGAGCTGTCATTCTTGGAGGGATAAAGGAAACAAAGGGGTGGGGACACCCAGTGAAATTACCCAGTGACCCGCCCTTTGTTTCCTTTAGCTTATGGTAGAGTGACAGCTCATTTTTTGAGCTATAGTGAAGAAAATAAAGCCGCTAATTTCATTTAAAAACCTGAAGTGACATATAATGACAGCCAGTGAGGGAGCCTCTTTGTATACACTGCTCCCTTACTGTATACACTGTTACTCTTCTGCCCCCTCCTTGCACACACTGCCCCCTCCAACCTACAAAGAGGACCTGTCACTTATATGCTATCACATAGGGTACTATTGGTCCCCTATGTGATAGCAATAAAATCATAAGTTAAAATAAAAAATATACATTAAAGTAGAACAAAAATACAAAAACAAACTGGAGC